TAGCCGAGAAGGCTAACACACCATTAGCCCAGTGTGTGTAGTGTGTTTAATGGCTGATGAGTGAACTTGGAGACAGACGGTGACGGCTCTTTCTAACGTATATGTGTGTATATACATATTGGTGCGCCCACCCTAACTCAGGTGGCCGACAGCTAGGCGGTGCCCTGTTGCTGGTGGTGGGAGAGAGAGTGAGGTTGACCGTCGGCGCGTTTCTTTCCTCACTGTATAATGAATCTGATGCGCTTGAATTTATCAGGCGGTGCGCTAAAAGCCGTGGCTTGGAGGGTTTGCCAGCTGGCGGGTTAACTCAAACACCGCAGTCCGTCCAATGTGTGTGTTTTTTATGTGGAGTGGTCTACTGCGGCTCATATTCAGGTTCAATGGCTCCTCCTTCCTAATGTGGCGCTCACTATCGGAAGCCTATCTAGCGAGACGTGCTGTTCGGTACACGCTTTTTGAGTGTTTGTCGCGCCAGCCGTCTGCGCTCTCCCGCATTTCCGACCTTCTTGACTCTGTCTTGACAACCGGTTCCCGTGTAGGAGTGGTCAGAGAGTGGGATAGATCCGGCGAGTCTGCTTTCACTATAATCCAGCTACAGTCGCCGTGTCTGCCTTCAGCTTGTTGAAGCTCGTGGTGGATATCGTCGAAATCGACGGTCGAACTGCCGTGTGTGTTTGCGTACTTGTAATTAGCACAAACTGTGAGCTAGCCCGACTGTTGTCCCAATCGCCAGCACGAGGGAAGAAGAAGAAGAAAAGTTTAGCAGCCAGGAGGAGAAGTATATTCACACAGAGCAAGTCAGTGCCAGTCAAGCAGGTTACTTTTTCAAAAAGGTTGCGGGGTATTTATCTCAGTCCGCTCCATGAGCAGGCGTCAGCGCCAAGGAACCAATCAGCTATGACGAAAATTCGATAAATATTTTCGTGCTTTTTCTTCTATACTTGAATTTATAAGGGCATTGCAAATTAGTGAGAGACAGTCATACTACTTGAATGGCCATTTAATAGGCTATGATTCTTACAGACTGATAAAAACAAAATCGTTGAAAATCTGGCATCCTACAGACCTGACCGAACTGTCTGGGGATTAGGTAGCGCAATTATTAATATTGCAACTAAAGTAATTTTTGTTTCAATTGAAAACATATTCCAGCATTTAGGTAGTAAATCTGCCCTACCTGTGTGGGGTGTCAGTCCTGCCAGCACGCGGATTGAATTATAACGTGGAGACAGCTTGGCAGAATCAGGGACCCTCCAGGCGCGTAGCCTCTTATGTCTCACGTGCCATACGCATGCTGGGGCCTCGGTCGACACGAGCTGAATTGTACTCACAGAGAGTATCACATCTGTGATAATTACCTTTAGAACGCAAAGAAATCTGATCGTCAATATCGAAATTAGTTTCAGTTCAGAATGAAGAAAATATTTATAGTGAGCACACGAGTTGGTTTGAAAACCTCTGTGCTTGGTGTTAGGAGTCTAGCTTGACATTGCAGGCTCTCCTGAGGCGTCGTGCCTTCCGCCGACTGCCAAAATGATTCTTTTTTCAATGAGGACTGCCTTCAAGGTCATATGCCTCCATGGTAGTTGTGCACACGCGATGACCTAAACCTCTGGAGGGGACACAGACGCACGCGAGCCTACGCGTGTGTCAGCTGGTCGCGGTTTCTCAAGGGCCACTACC